CATTATGTCACAGTATACCCCCGATATACTAAATTTGTATAAAAAATTTAAAATTATTTACCCCCCCCCCTTATATTGAGAATAGACCACAACAAAACATAACCAACTATTTCGTACCCACATATAGCCCATCACAATCTCCCCGTCTGTAATCAATAAATCACGCGTCAAACCCGTGAACGCTTTGCCGGGAACGCCAATCAACATAGAAATACCGTTCAACGGGGAGCCGAAGCCCCGTATCGAGTGGCTGCGAAATGGTCAGCCCATCCCCACCGGGTCCAACATTATCGCCACCGTCGATGGTAACAGCGCTATATTAACCATCCCATCGCCCGACCCGTCTAATGAGGGCGAGTATACCGTACGCGCAGTCAACCCGTTGGGCACCGATCAGGTGTCGTTCCCGATGGCCGTGAAGTTGGTGTGTCCGCCAAAGGTTACGGCTTTTAACGATATAATCGACACCACCGGCGATAGCATTCAGTTAAAGTGGACTCCCGTTAAAAGCTATGATGGCCTACCGCTGCGGTATAAGGTACCGGTGCTCTTGTTTATATAGGGACTACAGTTTTATTAATGTATTTTTTATCCACAGGTGGAAAAGTTGTTGTCAGCCATGACTAATGAATGGGCAGTCGTGGCCACTACCACAGACACCAGTCATTGGGTGACAGGGTTACCATGTATTTCGGGCCATAAGTTCCGGGTCAGCGCTATGAACACCATTTGTTCGTCGGAACCGCTCGTCTCGGCGACCATTTTTACAAATAAAGACCGACCGTCGGCGCCGGTCGGACCCCTTGAGAAGTTTAACGTTACCAACAAACCGGTATTCATTTGATAAATATTTACCTCATAAGTGCTCTCTCTCTCTCTCTCTCTCTCTCTCTCTCTCTCTCTGTTCAATACCATTAGGTTTAGGGGTTATAATAGACTAAAAATATATAAGTTTTATTTTCCCGATTATTCCCGATTTTGGCTTATTTTGAGAAAATTCCCGATTTTAGCATATTTTTGAGAAAATTCCCGAAAAGTCTAGTTTTGTGACAAATATTCCCGAAATTAGGCCATTTTCAAAGAAAAAAGATTTATTTTATAACTCTTTCATCAAAACTTTTAATAAAATTCTAAACTGAATATAACTGTATCCACAAGATTTTGAGATGAGATGACTTACAAAATATGCATTGATTTAGTCGAGTGTTCATTCTCTCACTTTAAGTTTATTCTTCAGATAGAAGGCATTGATTAACTTAAAAAATGCTCAAATTTTATGTCATTATCAAATACAATTCAGTTGTAAATGATTTAAATGCATAATTATTGTATTATAATTGAATAAAATCATAATTCCCGAATTTTCCCGATTTTGACTCTTTTATTCCCGAATTTGAATGTTTTTACTCCCGGAAAATGGAATCTTTAGACATTACATAGACTTTACATATACAGTGCAACTTCTCTTGGGTGAACTTCTCTTGGATGAACACCTCCTCATAATGAACGGTTTTGAAATTTATATTGGATTTCCTATACTTATAATGTTAAGATAACCTCTCTTGGGTAAACTTCTCCATAATGAATACCTCCCCATTATGAACGGATTTATANAACGGATTTATAGAGATTAAGATAAAACTTTCACTCCCAATAATGAACAAATATAATAATAAGCACATCATTCCTAAAAGTATTCAAAATAGTTTCTAATCTAAGACTAAGCAAACAAACCACACATTTTTATATCAAGTTTCATTCAATATTGTAAGAGATGTGTATTTATTCTCTGATTAATGAACTATAAATTATTACTTAATATCTAGAGACGCATCTAATGCTCAAATATTTAAGAATTGGAAAAAATTAAAATTAAATCATTTAATTCTCATTATAATACAGTATAAACAACTAAAATCACTTATTTTTAAAAATAATTGTAATTATTAATCAAAAATTAGACATTTTTACTCAAACCTCCCTTGGATGAACCCTCTCTATAATGAACACTTTTGTCGTACAACAGGCCGTTCATTATAGAGAAGTTGCACTGTACCAATTTTTTGAAACCGTTAGCTAAACAAGTAACACTTTACATTTTTCAAATTATACTAATAACTTTCAATTACAATTTAGTCGCAAACTATTTTGCACAACGAATTTTTAATAAGAGTTTCAAACATTATACCCGTTATACCCGTTCCCGTAGCCACTGCTGAAAGTGCTGATCAAAGCGCCCGACAATAAGCCCCGCATCGATAAAACCGGACTGAAAGACATAATCCTCGACAAAGGCCGACCACTGCGAGTGGAGGCGCCCATCACTGGCAACCCGGCGCCGGACGTCGAGTGGCGATTCAACGGCACCAGTTTGGACAGTAGAGTGGCCAACATGTCCATCGATGGCAACAAAGTGATCGTCAGCGTCGACAGCGTCGACAAGCCTAACGATGGCCTCTACACCGTCACCGCCAACAACTCGGAGGGCAGTGACGAGCACTCGTTCCGCGTCACCGTCAATGTCGAGCCGTTAGCCCCGACACTAGAGGTCAGGCTTGTAGACGGTGCGGACCCCACCAGCGGTCTGGAGCTGTTTTGTCGACCGCCGGCCAACGATGGCGGCCAACCCATCACTGCCTACGAGTTCGCTAAGTATGACAAACAGGCGAACGCGTGGAAACCGGTGGCCACTGTTCAGTGCCAGGGGTTGGCCGACACCTCTACTTGTGGTCGGCTTAAACTGACCGAACCATACGATGGCAACTACTCGGTGGCGGCGATTAACTCTGTGGGCAAATCGCCACCGGTGACAGTGGCCCTGGAGCGGCCCCCATCGCCCAACAATGTGACCGTGGTGGATAATCGGGAAAAGGTTGTGCTCGAGTGGGTCCCACCAAAGAGTGCTGGAAACACTAGCGCCGGTAGTATTAGCGGTCCCATCACTGGCTATATTGTCGAGTCCAAGGCGGCCACACCGGCCGACTCGCCGTGGGTTAGGCGCGTGAAAACACCGGACGCCACGCCCCGGGCTATCGTGACCGGCGTTAAGCCGCCCGAAGTGCACGCGTATCGGGTCCGGACGGTCAATAGAATAGGGATTAGCGACCCGTCGAAGGTATGGGTGCTATTGTTTAAGCTGTATGTGAGCACCGGTAGGTTTAACTAATCCGTATCTCTACTGCAGTCGACGCCAAACACGCCGACCGTACCGACAAACAACGCCCCGACCATCGATAAGACATCGTTGAAAGACATCAATCTGGATAGGGGTAAGCCGTTAAGAGTGGTGGCGCCGGTGACTGGCGGTGTGCCGGCACCGGGCGTCGTTTGGAAGATAAACGGCACAAAGCTCTCAGACCCACGACTGGCCAACGTGTCGACCGTCGACAACAACTCGGTGCTGACCGTACGGGCGGTGGACAAACGGCACGAGGGTTTGTATACCGTGTCCGCCAACAACGTGGCCGGTATGGACGAGGCCTCGTTCCGGGTGACCGTCAATGTGGAGCCGCCGGCACCCAAACCGCTCACCGTCGCGCCCCATAACGGCACGCATCGGGTACTGACGTGTAGAGCCCCGCCACCAAACAACGCCCGACCCGTCATTGGCTACGTGTTTGAAAAGTATGATAATCTGACCGATAGTTGGTCACCGGCGGCCAACGTTACCTGTCGAGTGCCCGACGATAGCCAGTGCTGTCGCACACCGTTGACGGACACGACCGGCGGTGTGTATAGCGTGAGGGCTGTAAATAGTTTGGGTCTCAGCGACCGATTTGTGGCCCAAATACCGTCCGATTGCCCGCCCCGTCCCAAGGCTTTCGTAATGCCTATGAATGTCACCCAACGGGCCGTCCATTTGGTCTGGGAGTCCGTCGAGTATAGCTCGCCGTATATTTATCAGGTATGTGTGCTTAACTCCATGTGCTCGCTGATCAGCACTTGGTAGTGATCTTATACACTAATTAATTGTTATTGTATTTTTCACTGATTAACTAGATTGAAGAGCTGGACAAAGGCACCGGCCAGTGGGCACCTGTGGCCAACACAACACAAACCAGCCATTGGGTTACGAACCTGGGCTGCGAATCGGTCCATAAATACAGGCTTACCGTAATGGGCGAGTCGTGTCCGTCGGAGCCCCTCTACTCCCAAACCATAGACACCGGGAGTGTTCGTCCGGACCCACCCGGAGGGCCGTTAACGGTGACAAACATCACTAAAATCTCGGTAAAAACTGTTTGCTTTAAATGCATTGGTTTATATTTTAATTAATTTTAATCGTGTAAAAAATGTTTACCTTGCTCCTATAGGTTGTCGTGCGCTGGACAGCGTCGGACTGTGCCAAAACGTACAAGGTGGAAAAACAGCGCACCGGCACCACCGCGTGGGTACCGGTGGGCCAAACGGCCAGCACACGGGTGCGGGTGAAGAATCTATTGAAAAATTCAATGTATAAGTTTAGAGTACGTGCCGTAAACTCGGCGGGCGTAGAGTCGGCGCCCCTGGAGTCGGCTGTGGCCCAGACTCTCGATGAAGAGTGCGCTGCGTTCAAGTCAACGCCGGTGGGTCTCGAGGCTGTCAGTGTGACCGCAGTTGGCCTCGAGTTACGCTGGACTGGTCTGAACTCACCCATAGATGAGCCGGTTGTTTATATGGTAAGATTTATAAGCGATTTGTTGTGTTTTAATTATACTTTATATGTTTTGTTTACTTTCATAATAAGCTTAACTTTTTTTTATAAAGTTTTAATGGTTAAGTTAGTCATAACCAAGACTGTTGCATTTAATATACGAACCCCCATTTATAATGTATAATTCCTATACGGTTTACACAATTGTGTAAATTTATACGGTGATAGTCATAACTATACCAGGCCGTTCAAAAAAGTTCCTATACTCAATGTCTTTAGAATTAATCAGGATAATTTGATTCTGGTTTAGATTCTTAGAACTAGCCCACGGTTTACATGTTCTATAAAACGTATCATGATTGATTAAAATATAGAGTATTTATTTTTTTAAAAAGTAAGGAAAAAATTATTTTATAAAAATTTATTCAAGTAGGAAAACTTTTTTTTTAATAAAAGCCATAAGTGTTTTTTTTCATAATAATGATAGCTTATTAAAACTTATTAAAAAGCATCTCATTAAAAAATATACATAACGTCTATTACTTATAATATTGTATAGATTCAAACTCAAAACGTGAGCACTGGTAAGTGGGCTGACGTGAGCGACCTTATCAGCGACACCCGTTTGCAAGTAGACGAGTTGGACTGCGGCCGAGACTATCGGTTTCGACTGCGGGCTAAGTGCGGTAAGTGTGTCACCGATTGGGCGCAAACACTCGTTACTAAGACACTGGCGATGGCGCCGTCGCCACCGATAGGTCCGGCCATTGCGTCCAATCTATCCGAACAGGGAGTGAGTGTTCAAAACATAAACAAACATAAATGCATCATGATTAACTATAACAACATTTTTTGTTGTTGCCATAGTTTACAATAAAATGGGGTCCACCGGAGCGCACCTGCGGCCTACCGGTGCAGTACACGGTCCACAAACTGACCAACAATACAGTCGACCCCCGATATATTGGCGATACGACCGACACTAAACACTTTATTCCGAGCGCTGAGATTAATTACAAACAAAACTTCAGGTTCGCGATAGTGGCCACCACTAGTGCCGGCACATCCGAGCACTACACCTCGTACTGGCTATCGGGCGCTCAGTTGAGACCAGCAAAACCCCCAACCGTACCCACCGGACTACTAAAAGTGACCGTCAATGGCGACAAAACCACTCTAACCTGTAAACCCCCGGCCAGTAATGGGGGTAAACCAGTGCTGGGCTACTCGTTTGAGCGCCGGGACGACAGGTCGGGTGACGGCCCGTGGAAAATGGTTTCGGTGGTCGAGTGCTCGCCGCCCGACGACCCCGAGTGTTGCCGCACAACAGTGGACACCAGTGGCGGCACATATCGGGTTAAGGCTATGAACGTTAAAGGCCTGTCACCGCCGTTGGAACAACAGGCGCCGATAGCACAGCCTCCCGGTCCACCCATTAATGTTATGGCCTTTCTTACTGTTGGAGACAATCTATTTGCACTCAAATGGCAGCCCCCGGCCAATAGATGGGTCGACTCATGGGACACTATTGTACCGCCGATTACTAACTATTTAGTAGAGAAACAAGAGGTGCCGGACGGCCGGTGGACTAACCATACCCTTACGCTCAGTCCATACGAGAAGCTCTGGGCTCTGTTGGATGGGCTTAAACCTAAACAGACCTACAGGCTTAGGATTCGGGCTGTTAATAGCGCCGGTGCTGGCGAGCCCTGTCAGGTATTGCCATATTGTTTGTGATTTATGATTGCCATGATTTTATAATTAACCAATTTATACAATTAGCCATTGACTGACTTGCGATGCAAATAGTGACCATCATAATTTAATAACTCTCTCTCTCTCTCTCTCTCTCTCTCTCTCTCT